AAAATATATTGATATTCATTCTTTTAATGCAGACGGTACTATTTTCTTGAATTGTGCGTTACTCCTTTATTTTAAATGTCCAGATCCCACGCGAATTATATTGGCCCCGCTTAACGCGGATGTCACTGTTGGAGAAAATGCCACCATGCAGTGTGCTGCTTCCTTTGATCCTGCCCTGGACCTCACATTCGTCTGGTCCTTCAATGGCTACGTGATCGATTTCAACAAAGAGAACATTCATTACCGGCGGAATTTTATGGTACGTGTCTTAAGCTTCATCGTATTAACATCCCAGTGACCCCATGTGTCTGGACTACAGCTCTGAAACTAAAAAACAGGCCAAAAAAAAAAAAAAAAGCTTTTCATGGGTTTCCTTATGTTCATCATAGCACTCCTGCCCCTTTCTGAAAAAAATGGCTAGCCCTGAGGATTTTGGTAGAAATATTAATCAATAACTGTTCTTTGTGTGGTAGGTCCATTTTCCCTGAATTATTATACAATTTTTATATTGATGTAGTATCCTTAGTATATCTTTACTCTGGTTCTAGTGCCTTCAAATTAACTTTATGTGAGGTAAGAGCATAAACTTATCCTTTGTTAAAACAATTATTTTAGGGTATTTATTTTATTCTTTGAGGGTAAGAAATAGGTCAATTATATATATGGGGAGGTTTGGAGAACAAATCCATGTGATTTGAAAAGGGCTAAATCGCCGAAACTGGTTTGGCTCAGTGGATAGAGCGTCGGCCTGCGGACTCGGAGGTCCAGGGTTCGATTCCAGTCAAGGGCATGTACCTGGGTTGCAGGCACATCCCCAGTGGGGAGTGTGCAGGAGGCAGCTGATCGATGTTTCTCTCTCATCGATGTTTCTAACTCTCTATCCCTCTCCCTTCCTCTCTGTAAAAAATCAATAAAATATATAAAAAAATGATTAAAAAAAAAGAAAAGAAAAGGGCTAAATAGCTGTTTTAGTTTAAGAATAGAAAAGCATACATGAAACAAGCCCTGCAGTTAAGCACAGGGATGTATAGATATAAAGAATATAGGCCCTAGCTGGTTTTGCTCAGTGGATAGAGCATGTGCCTGTGTACTGAGGGGTCCCGGGTTTGATTCCAGTCAAGGGCACATGCCTGGGTTGCGGGCTTGATCCCCAGTAGGAGGCGTGCAAGAGGCAGCGGATCGATGATTCCCTTTCTATGTATATATATGTGTGTATATATATATATATAAAATAAAAAAGTAAAATAAATATAAAATGACAACGGGGTATCGGCAAAGAACTATTTTAACATTATGCCATGTGATATATTTTCCATGTGATATATTTTCCATATATATATATATATATATATATATGTGTGTGTGTGTGTGTCAAACTATGTTGACATGCTTAATCATAAACATACCCCAAACTAGTAAAATTTACACCAAAATCTTTAATAATGTCTTCTAATTGTGTGTTGTTTTGCCTGAAAAGCAAATGATACTCAGTATGTACTCAATTTAAAAAAACTAAAGTGAGATAAACAGAAATCTTATTTTTTTAAAAATAGACCTTTAAATTTGCTTATTTCCTTGGTTTTATAAATTGAGTAATTCCAAAAATATAACAACCGTAATTTATACAAGTAGTTAATAGCCGCTGTGAAGTCTATATAAACAGATGTTGGGGTATAAATTGCCTAAATGAAGCTGAAACTTTATTTGTGGAGCCTCTTGATGTTTTTAACACAATAGTTACATTGTATTGGTTAATGTAAATAAACATTTCAAAAAAAGATATTATAGCAAAGAGAGAGAGGAGAAAAGAGCCCATTACCTTAAAAAAGTGAAAAGTAAAGAAATACCTGGAATACTAATTAAGAAATAAATCACAAAGCAGACCACAAAAATGTAATGGACTTCGACCCTCACTATCACCCCCCTTTTGCAGAAGGTAGCCATGGAGATCCCTGTAGTTGCCCCTCAGCTTATCCAGAGGAGAATCCTACCTGCACACCCTGCTCTCGGCTCACCAACCCTGGTTTCCGCTCAGCCCACCAGATGACGATTCATGAGATGTAGAAAACATGCTCCCTGGCTAACTATGCAGCTTAATTGAGTGAAGATAACTCCTGCACATTTTAGCATTTTGTAGATGGACGGATGGGATTCAACTCTCTAAATATCAAAAGGGGGGGGGGGGAATAAAAATACTTTCAAATAAATTCTTAAGCTTAATTCTGTCTTTTGAACCCAAGAAACCCATAAAGCTTTCCCTCATGTTTTCTTTCTCTTTTAAGGCAAACTTCAAAGTCAGACTTCACTGCTAAATACACAACACAAGATTCAAGTGAAAACACCATTTGTGTTTGATCCGCTTGTGAAAGATAATCCTGATGGCTAGTAATTGCTTCTGCGCTCCTTAATAGACCATTGTCCTAGTGGCTCTTTCTATCTAAAGCTTACTGAACAAAGGGGGGGGGGCAGCTGTAATACTTTCAATAATAAAGATACGTTTAAAATAAATTAAAAACCAAAAAAGAAAACATAATAGAGATAGCAGGTATTAGGGACAACAAAGCAAGAAACATTGCTAATTGCAATGTCTATTATTCAAGGTGCAGGTAAAAATATCAATGTATATATATATTTTTTGGATTCTTAAATAATATTTTGATATTTAAAACAAATTCTGGTAACATTTCAATAATTGAGTATCATTTGTTCATTTAAAAATGTTGTACTGAACACATACCACACGCCAGGAAAAGTTCTGGGTGAATAAAACACTGACAGAAACAAACACAGCACTGATCCAAAATAAATCAGAGCTAAATCTGTGAGTTTAAAATTGAGATGTAAACATTTGGTTGCTATCACAGTTATCAAACTGCTACGATTGTCATCATTACGTTTTAGTCATTTTAATTGCTAAAATTAATATCTGAAGCTCTAATTAATGAAGAGAGTATAAAGTTCACAATTTAAACATTTTATTTCAAGAACCTAAACTTTTATTTTCCACTTTATTTTTTTTAATATATTTTATTGATTTTGTACAGAGAGGAAGGGAGAGGGATAGAGAGTTAGAAATATCGATGAGAGAGAAACATCTATCAGCTGCCTCTTGCACACCCCCTACTGGGGATGTGCCCGTAACCAGGGTACATGCCCTTGACTGGAATCGAAGCTGCGACCCTTCAGTCCGCAGGCTGATGCTCTATCCACTGAGCCAAACCGGTCAGGGCTATTTTCCACTTTAATTTTAGTAAGAATATTTACTCAGTACTCAGTGCTTTAATTTTAGCTTGCTGTTCCAGATTTTGACCACCCTGTGGCAGCCTTGCATAAGATTTCAAATTTCAGTCTAGAATGATTGATTATGAAATTAAACAAATATATTTTCCCATATACTTATGTCCAACTATGAAATGGCTTCTATTTTGATATTCTAATTCAATAGCTATTTACTCCCTTAAATACCAAAGAGAGAGTCATTTTATTTACCAGTATGATTAATAATCCCTCTTGTTCTAGAAAGGACTTTAGACTATCTACCACTTACCTGATCTTCAGAAATTATTTTTTAATAGCCACCTATCTTTTGACATAAACGTTGAGTCATTTTCTTTAAACTATTTGACAACATCCTCCCTGTATATTATTATCTTTGTTAATCACATGAGTTTATTAAACTTTTGAATTCTGGCTGTTGCCAATGTAATATTTTTTTTTCTGATTCTCTTATTACAAATAAATGTTAACATTGTACTTTACCAAGAAGCAAATTGCTTGATCTGCATTGAATTTATAAATATCATATGAATTATTCAGAGGCTGGGCCACAACCAGACCTGGGCTCTAGGCTCCATTTTTTTTTCAATTTGGATCCTGTGACCGAGCCTATGATTAAGCCTCTCTAAGCCGCAGATTTCCCCCCTCTGTAAAATGTTATTAATAATTCACTGACTTCATTCAGGTTACTTCATTGGGTTTGCAAAACTAATTACTTCATAACATTTTTTTTGTGAGAATTCAATGAGAGAATGCCTATAGAGTGCTTGGCACAAGATGTGGCCGATTATTAGTGACTAGAGGCCCGTCGCAGAAATATTCCTGCAAGAATAGGGCTTCCTGTGGCTGGAGCAAAGCAGAGAAGGGAGCGAAACTTGCCGAGGCGGGCTTTGCTCCCTCTTCAAGCCCCTGCAGCTGGTCTTGCCCTCCCGCTCCCAGCCGCTGCCCCTTCCTCTCCAAGTTGCTGCCCCTCCCGCTCACAGCGGCTGCAGCTCCGTTTCTGTCCTCGTGGCCTCTACTTGGCTCCCTTCTGTACCTCTTGGCCTCCATGTTGTCATCAGTCTTCGCTCCCAGCTAGTATATGCAAATTAACTGCCATCTTTTAGCTTCTATAATTGAAACATTGTATCTTTTGGAGCTGTTGCTTCAGGAGCTCAGAGGCCGGCAGCGGCAGGCGGGGAACCTGGCTTCCTCCGTCACTGAAGCAAGCAAGCCTCCTGTTCGCGTTAGTTGCCTGGCTGCCGGCCACCATCTTGACTGGCAGTTAATTTGCATATCGCCCTGATTAGCCCATGGGAAGGGTAGCGGAGGTACGGCTAATTACCATGTTTCTCTTTTATTAGATAGGATTATTATGAATACTCTTTACAATTGAGAATCATTCTCCACTGAAAATTACAATAGCTTTTGCCAGATAGTTGTTTTTTTATTGTAGAGCTCATATTTCATAAATCAATTCTTGCATTGCTGGCTGTGTGGGACACTTAGTCCAAGAAAAAAAAAATCTCTGTATTTCCTTGCTGAGGGTAGTAAAGAGACAATAAATGTCAACATTTGTTGAGTGTTTACTATTTGGCCAGCATTGGGTTAAATGTGTTCCATGTATTTCTCAGTTGATCTTCACGGCAGTCCTCTATGGAACACATATTATTGTTGTGATTTTCT